CCTGACCTGCAGCTCCTGCAGCTGCGTGAAGCCGACACTCCACCCACGTCAAAAAGTCCAGCAAATAGTCTGAATGGTTAGTGCTTCGTTTGTGCAGTTTTGGTTTCTGAGATATTAAAAATAATTTTTTAGGTCATCCAGAGTTCACCATCCACCCTCCTTCCCCCATAGCTAGCCCAAAACAAACCAAGGTGGGGTAGCTCGTTAGTGCTCCATTTGTGCCGTTAAAACTGTCGTTTGTGCAGCTTTCCCTTATGAGATATTAAAAGTTATAATTTTGGCCGATGACGTCACCAGCCGCCCCAAATTTGCTCCAAACATCAACATTTTTGCTTTACCGCCGTTACGTCGCCGCCACCAACTGGATTATGTTATACAAATGACTAAATCTGATTTTTACCTTATTTGGTGCTTTCAGAGTTTAAGATTCAGCCAATCACATTCACCCAATTAGGGTGAATTTTACTATAACTGTATTGATTATGCCACGACTTATAGTCCCTTTTCTACAAAAACCTCAATTGCATAAAAACGACACGGAAAACAAGACTTACGTGACGGGAATGTGCTGGAAGACAACCAACGAAGAACTAAAACAGGAAGTACAACCTGCAGCAGGTGAAATTAATTGTCCCCTAATTGGGTGAATGTGATTGGCTGAATCTTCAACTCTGAAAGCACCAAATAAGGTAAAATCAGATTTAATCATTTGTATAACATAATCCTTGAGTGACATTGTGGTTCACATTATATTCCAGTTGGTGGCGGCGACGTAACAGCGAAAAAGCAAAACTGTTGATGTGTGGAGCAAAATGGGGGCGGCTGGTGACGTCATCGGCCAAAATTATAACTTTTAATATCTCAAAAACGAAAGTTGCACAAACGAAAATTTTAACGGAACCTGCACACCCGGAGCTCTAACCATTCAGACTATTTGCTGGATTTTTTGACGTGGGTGGGGTGTCAGCTTCACACAGCTCTGACCTGCCGATTTTGCAGAGGAAGATTGTCTTCACATGTAAGAATCACAGATTCCCAAAATTAATTAAGATTTATTGCTGCAACCTCAGTTTTGTGGGAAAGAGGCTTAAAGTTGGGCATCAGGAATCCTGGCTGCAGTAGGAGAAACAACAAAATATGACGAAAGTTCTCTGCCAAATATTTAACCTTTTAGGCAAAATCAATCAAGGAGGCTCAAAGTGCTTCACATCATAAAAACAGAAAAATAAAAAGTAATAAAACCATCACACAGTCACCAGAAAGAAAAAAAAAACATTAGATTTTGTCGAGTGTCATCATCTAAATCGTCAAAGTTCCAGTGATTGTGGTTCAAAAACAACTCAGAGTTTCAGCTGCTGCACTGTGAAGCACAGCGGTGGCAGCATCATGCTGTGGGGATGTTTTCTATTAGCAATCGTTTGAACAACATATCTGGGACACCACTGGTTTAGGTCAAACGTCTTCACGAAGTAGAATGGTCTAGTCGAAGCTCGACAGAGAATCTGGCTGAGTTTAAAGTTGATAACTCTGCTGTGCTGAAATCAAAACATGCCACTTTTTAAAAAATATTTAAAATTTACTTTTCAATTACTCACTACTTTCTGTTGATCTATGACAGAAAACCAAAAGTTAAATGGATTAAAGTTACATGAAATCATTTGAATCAAGTATCTGGAACACCAAAGGTTTGCGTCAAAGCGTCTTCACAAGGTAGAATGGCCCAGTCAAAGTTCAACAGGAAATCTGGCTGAGCTTAAATTCACAAAAACAAGTCATTTTTGTTTTTCAGATTCTCCAAAACATGAAACATTAAATAAAAAATAAAAAACTTTAAAACTTTGCATTGATTTGTCAGAAAAACAAAAATGGATTAAAGTTACATGAAATCATTTGAATCAGGAATCTAAAACAGCTGGTTTAAGTCAAAGCGTCTTCAGGAGTTAGAATGGTCTAGTCAAAGTATGATAGGCTGAGCGTAAGTTCACAAGAACAGATTTGTTTTAAGATTATTCCCTACTTCGCGTTGATGTGTCGTAGAAAAACCAAAGTTAAATGGATTAAAGTTGGCGGACGTAAACAGAAACATTTTATTCCAGTTGCTTCTGAAATGCTCAGTTTTTTCAGGTCGAAACTCTTTTCTCTCTGCGCCGCTAACCGGACTTTAAATGTGAAAAGGTGGAGCAGCGGGAGCTGATTGTCCTGTAAATTTGGAGGAAATCACTGCTAAACTCTGATTTCTGTAGATGGAGAGAGAAGAAAAGGCCCGCAGTCTCATCTCATTCAAAGCCAACGCTGCTTTTTTTTTTCTTTTTAAGGAATAACAATATGCGCAACACATCTGGCAACATCAGCTGCCTGCATCCATTTTCTGACTGTGCGTGTGTGTGTGCGTGTGTTGCACTTTCACACACACACTCCACTCTGTTTTTTTACATACATCGTCTCCACTTCACATGACGAAGAGAAAACATGTGAGGGACATTAGCTCCCTCATTCCTGAGCGCCTTTCTGGTTTTTCTTCTCCTCCTCTCTCTCTTTTTCTCTCCCTCTCTCTCTCTTTTTTAAGTTTCACTCGCACGCAAGCGCAGCAGTACCGATTAAAAAGGTGTTTAAACTCACCTGAACGCAGTCGATAAGCTTCCAGGTTGGGTTTTTAGTAAGAGGCGGAGGTGGTTTTCTCTTTGAACTCCTCCGGGATGGTGATCCGCCGCCGCTCCGGTGTCCACTGTGTCCAGAGGGCGTCAGTCTCTCCGCAGCACAAAGCGGCAGGCAGTCGGGCGCCTTAAAGGCACACGCTCCATTTTCAAAGCGAAGCCTCAGCGGAGAGAAAACACCGGCGCCCGAGGTCAAACAGATCCCAAATCAGCGCACCGAGACTCGGATTCAGAGCAGAGCGGATCAAGAAGAAGAAGGGAAAAAAAAAAAAAAACGTGCGTAAAAGCGCTGCGTAAATCCAACACGTGAGCGGGCTGGCTCAGGTTGCGTTTTGTATCTTCTTCTCTTCCCAGTTTGCGGGTCCTTTGTCTCCTCTCCTGTCGGCGGCGCGTTGGGTGCGCCTCGTCAGGTGAGGAAGCCGATCGGGCGCCCCGCTGGGCGGCTCGTTCATAAGGCGATGCGCCGCTGCAGCTCCACAGGTGTTCAGCTGCAGCGGGAAACTGCAGCTTCAAACTGATAACAACACGACGTGACAAGAAAAACACACAAAACACCTCCTAAAGTAATGTTTTGTGTTGTTGTTGTCTAAATGGACACATGGTATAGATTTAGACAAAAATAAAATAAAATCACTTTTAAAACAAAATTATTTATGATCAGCGTAACCAAAAATTGTGCTGAAGTAACAATAGCCACTACTTTAACATATTTACTCGAGTAAAAGTAGAAAGTAGTCCAACAAGTTACTCGAGTAAGAGGGGAAAAAAAAGTATTTGGTAAAAAGCTACTCAAGTGCGTAACTGATCAAATTATCAATCATTTAATATTTAAAAATTACATCAGACGGACCAAAATATAAAGTGGAAATTTTGGTATATTTAGGATGAAAATGACAATAATTCATATAATAATAAAATAACTAAATCAGGCTAAAGAAAAATTTCCAAATAAATTTTTTTCAATAAAAAAACAAAACAAAACCTCAATACATTATATATCTTCAAAATTATATAGATATAGCTTTGTGTATTTATATATATATATATATATAGATCTATCTAAATTATATACTATATATATATATATATATATATATATATATATATATATATATATATATATATATAATTTGTATACATATCTCTGGCCTCCATTACCAATTTGCATTGCTGTCTGCAGTGCCCCCTCCTGGCAGATCAGAGTACTGCATACACACAATAATAAAAAAAATAATAAAAATAATAATTATTATTATGCAGGTGAATCAACTTAAAAAAATTCATCCAACACAAGATATAATTTCACAACAAATAAAATTTATTCAATTATATATTACAAATATGTACAAGTCATGTAACAAGTAAATATTAAAATAGACATTTTTTTAGAACTATCGTTCAAAAGGCATTATGTTGAAAAAATAGGATTTGTTGTGATCTCACGTCGAAACTGTAAAAGTGTTTTTTTTTTTTTTCTCTTCTTTTTTTTCTTGGAAGCCACAACAGACTTCGATGTGCGCGAGACACAATATGGACGACACAGGAGGACGCTCTGAGGCCGCCAGAAGAAAGAGACACGATGTTGGGGTGGAAAAGAAAAAATAAAAACAAAAAGACTAAAGAGAAAGAGCTGGAACATTTCAGTTAAAACCTCACGAATTTAAAGTCCACGGTACTTTAAGATAAAGAACATCGCAACGCATGCACAGCATTAAAACCGCCAAAGTCGAGGAAACACCAGCTGCGGCGTAAAGCTCCGGATGTGGAAGGAAGGAAGAAACGTTGGAAAAGAAAGAAAAGAACAACAACAACGAACGACGAGAACATCACAGACGAAGACCGGATAAAAAAAACAAAACAAAACGACTTTGGTCCATTAAAACATCAGACAGAACGAGTTTACAATCAAAATATCTATTTTACTTTTTGTTTTTTTTACAGTTTAAAACAATAATTACATGACTATGTACAAATGCACATTTTCTTTTTTTATGTATAAAATAAGTTAAAAAATTAAGAGCACAGTCTGTACACAACGTATGAACACTTTGAAAACATTTGAAATCTTCACGGCCCGGTTCTGGTAAAAAAACAACAAAGCAAAACGAAAACCCGGCTGTAAGTGCTGCTGCGTGGCGTCGCCGTGGCGACGCCTCATATGGGGGTCAGGTCGAAGTCGTCGTTGACCTCCACCAGCGGGATGTAGAACTCGGGGATCTCGAAGATGCTGGTGGACTTGTAGGTGGCCGGGTCCAGTTCCTGCAGCTTCAGCTGCCACTCCAGGCGCTGGACGGCGTTCAGCGCCGCCGCCTCGTGCTGCTGCCGCATCAGCAGGCAGGTCTGGGGGCACAGGACCAAACGGGTCAGGACCAGACGGGTCAGGACCAGACATCAGGACCAAACGGGTCAGGACCAGACGGGTCAGGACCAGACGGGTCAGAACCAGACGGGTCAGGACCAGAAGGGTCAGGACCAAATGGGTCAGGACCAGACGGGTCAGGACCAAATGGGTCAGGACCAGACGGGTCAGGACCAGACGGGTCAGGACCAGACGGGTCAGGACCAAACGGGTCAGAACCGGGTCAGAGCCAAATGGATCAGAACCAGGTCTGAGAAACAAACCTGGTTTGGTTTCTTCCCTACGCTCAAACTTTGACCCTAAACTGATCGCTAAGGGCAACAAACTGCTGCAAACTGCTGCAAACTGCTGCAAACTGCCGCAAACTGCCGCAAACTGCTCCACCTCTATTAAACAGAAAACTTAATAAAATAGAAACTTTGGGATTCAAAGTGAAAATCAATCAGGACTATTGATACGTGACTATATGTAATTTATTGGAAATTTATAGAAAAAAATTAAAAATATCTGAAAACTTCGAGATAAAAGAAAGAAGAGAAAGAAGGAAAGAAATGTCGACTTCCTTCAGTCTGACCTTTGACCTTTCAGTTTTAATCAATCATTCAGTGAATAACATGAAACCTGCAGCCCCTTATTGATCGCTGATCAATAAAAACCTTCATCAATCACCCACCCTTCCTCTGAAAAACATCCAAGATAAAAACCAGATCCATGAGCTTTTATTTTGAAAGTCTGACCTTGAGCTTGTCGAACTTGTCATCGACGTCCTGCAGCCAGGACATGAACTGCCGGGCGTTGAACCGATCCCTCACCGACGTTTTCCCGTCGTCACCCTGGCAACGAAAACCCGACAGGTTCAAACCCAGAGCAGCAGGACAGAGGTCAGAGGTCAGAGCGAGGCTCACCTGGATGTCCTGAGGCATGTTGTACACCTCGGCGTCCAGCAGGACGGTGCAGGCGCTGAACGGCAGCGTCTGGTTGGCTAGTGTTCTGGCGGCCCGGTAGTGGACCCGCAGCACTTCCTGCTCGTTGGAGACGATCAGCTTCTCCTGAAATGAGAGGGGCCAAGGGTCAGCTGGGGGTCAGCTGGGGGTCGTCAGGTCAACCCGGGTTACATTAATAAAGATGAAATAAAAAACGTACGCGCTCGATGCTGTGCTGCAGCCGCAGCTTCATACGGACGACTTCCTGCTGCTTGAACATTTCCTTCAGCGGCTCAGGAAGCGAAGGGGGCGGAGTTATCTGGAAAATACGATTATTAATTATTGATTTATATTATTATTTAAACACATTTAGAGAGAAAACTGATAAATTATTCAGTTTAATGCAAAGGAAAAACAAGAGGAACAAAAAAAAGGAAGGAAAAAGCTGCATGATTATAAAATGAAAACAATAAACATGATGCTGCCACCACCGTGCTTCAGAGTCAGACAATAAAACGCAGATCGACTCCAAGTAGTGGCTCTGGATTTTATCAAGAGATATCAAAGCACAGAGGGATTAAAATGCACACCGCACTTTTCAGATTTTGATAAAGAAGCAAAGGAAAGGAGGAAGGAAAGAAGAAAAGACAGAAGGAAAGGAGGGAGGTAGGGAAGTAGGAAGGAAAGAAAGGAAGGAGCAAAGAAAGGAAGAAGAGAAAAAAGAAAGAAAGGAAGGAAGGAAGGGAGGGAGGGAAGAAAGAAGAAAAGAAGGAAGGAATAAAGAAAGGAAGAGATGTCACATGTCAGTGAGTCCTGCGGTTCTGTTGCGGTTCTGTGTGATCCGTTCGGACTCACGGTGGGGATGCAGAGCTTGCTGAGCGGGTTCCCGTCCAGCAGGTACGACCCGTTGAACGTCACGTACTCGTCGTAGTATTGCGGCGGCTGCGGCGTCACGTTGCACAGCACCTTGCGCTTCTCCTCGATCTTCCTGCGGATGTGCAGGAACTCGTAGTACGGGTTGGCCCGCTCCGTCTGGTACGGCTCAATCTCCTCCAGCTTCACCGCGTCCACGATGGCCGCCAGCGACTGCTGGCACCTCTCTCTCTCCTGCTGGGCGGCTGAGCTCAGCGGCGACGCCGCCGGCCTCGGCATCTTCCTCTTGCGTGGGTGCGGGACGTGGATGTCTGCGTCTTCGTCCGCCGGTCGGGCTTTCAGCTTCGCTCCGGAGGAGTCGGAGTCTCGGTCGGCGGACTGCGGCGAGCAGCTGCCCGAGGCGCTGCCGCTGTCTGTCTGCGGCGCCGACTGGACCGACCTCGGGCTCTGCTCTTCGGCCACCGACGTCTCCGTCTTTTCGTCCGCCGGCGTAGCGTCCATCGGCTCGGGCGGCGTCTCCATGTTGGCGTCAGCCGCGCTTCCGTCCAGGGGAGAGCTCTCTGCTGCGGCACTGCTCTCTGAGCCCTGATGAGCGTCGCTCGGCTCCTCTCTGGGGTCAGGGGTCACGGAGGACGCCGCCTCCTCCATCTGGACATCAGGACAAGCGCCGGCGTCGTCAGTGGAAGGCTGGGATTTGTCTGCATCGTCTGCGGACGAGTCGTCGTCTTCTTCTTCTGCTGGAGCAGAACTGGGAATGTGCAAACTGGGTTCTGGTGGAGGACTGCACGGTGCATCCGGCGGCATTGGGTTGTCGGAACCGGCGGCCATGTTCTCCTGAGGAGGGTTCTCTGGTTGGAGGTCGGACGCCTGCTGGATCTCGGTGCTGGAAGACAGCGGCGTCTCTCTCTGATGGAAGGTCGCTGCGTCCGCGAGCACCGACGGCTCGCCGGGCGTCAGCGGCTGATCCGATTCTCCGCCAACACTTTCTCCCTGTCGCACAAACCACTCAGAATTAGCTTTTCCAGCTAACGCTCAAATTTCCTGTCAATTTTAACACATTTTAACTCAGAAACATGGCAGGTACCAACAGGCGCAGCAGGTTTTCTGGGGGGAACCTGCTTTATTAACTCACTTTGGATATTTAAAATGTCTTCCAGTTCCAGGGTTGAATGTTCATTCATACATTAGTTTATTTATCTTTAATTAACTGTTATTATGCCTCTGCCATGTTGTGACATGAAAATGGTCTCAAACAACAATATCATCAATCGCAATAATTTCTGCGACAATTTATAGTCCAGAAAATTCAACATTTTACCAATTAAATGTTGTTGTAACTCGTATTAATTCAAATTCTTCAGAGTTTTTGTAGAGGGAATAGATCTCCTCTAGCAGTCTGTATTACAGTGAGTTTGAAGAAGCCTCTGACTGAAGACACTGTTTTTCTCATGAACAGGATAGTTTTCCTAATTCCTACCTGTGACGTTTCCGTTGGACTGGTGACGTCTTTCGTTGCGGTGGGATCCGGGGAAGGAGGATCTTTCTGCTCCGCCTGACAGGCATCGCCTTGTGGAAGTGTTTGGTTTCTATTTGGAAGATCTTGCGTTGCTGACTGTCCCGCCGTGCTTCCCTCCTTTTCTCCGAGCGTCTCTGCCGGCGGGTTTGGGTTCTGGTGTCCGCTGAGGTTCTCTTCAGGTTCCGAGCTCTCCTTCGCCTTCGGCTCCTCCAACGCGGTAAGGCCACACTTGGACGGACGCTCGGCGCCGTCTCCCTCGGCAGTCGGACCGGCTTCCTCCTCCAGGACGCTCTGGAGGTGCTGGGGTTCGTGCTTCCCCGACTGAGGCGCGTCTGGAAGACTACTGCAGTCTCTGTCGTGGACGGACGGCGACCTGGCGGCTTGGATGACGAGGGAAGACTGGAGGAACGCCTGCTGGGAGTCGAAGGTCTCCAGGTTCATGTCCGAGTCGTACTCCGTGTGTCTGGGAGTCAACGTCGTGGCCTGGAACGACTCCTCTGAGCTCGCCACGGACACCAGGGACACGGAGCGGGACATGAGGCCGCCGCGGTCGCCCTCGGGTCGTGGCGACCTGCTCAGGCAGTTTTCCACCACGGATATGACCTTGGCGCTGAGGGACGGCGCACTCTTCCCGTCCAGAGACAGCGTCCGGTTGCCGCTGGCGTCTTTCTTCTCTCGGCCGTGGACGTCGGACGTCTCCGAGCTTTTGGAGCGCGTCAGCTCCTTGTTCAGGCAGATCTCTGGCTTCCTGTCTTTGGGTTTGGACTTCCCCGGGTCGCACAGGGGCCGCTGCTTGAGCCTCTCCCGCTCCTTCTGCTTGAGCTTTTCCAGATGTTTCCGATGCCACAGCTCGATCTCCTGGTCCTTCATGCTCAGCATTCGCTCGAAGCTGGTCTGCATCAGGTCGTCGTTCACCAGCCGCTTCTCCTTCGGCTTGGCGTCCCGAGCGGCCGTCGGGGTTTTCGGTTTGCTCTTTTCTGCGTCTCCCTCGCAGGACTTGGCTTTGCCGATGCGGGCCTGCTGGGAGCGCTCTTTGTGCCGCTCTTTGTCCTTGTGTCTGTCGTAGTCTCGCTCCCGGTCTCGCCGGTCCCGATCCTTCTCGGGCGTCTTCGCCGCCGCCTCGTCTTTTGACTTTGCGGATGAGACCTTGCTGCTCTCGGACAGATAGCTCCTCTTGTCTTCCGGCAGCAGCTTCAGGTTGGAGCTGGACGACACGCCGCCGTCTTTCATCTTGTCCTTCTTTTTCCGGTCGCAGTCCTTCTCTTTCAGACGGTGATCCGCGGTTTTCTCCGGAGGTTTCCCTCGTCGGTCGCTGTTGGCTCGGTCTCTTTCTTTGTGATCTCCGCTTCCGTACTCCCTGTCGGACCGCTTCTCCTGCTTATCTTTACTCTTCCTGCCGTCTTCGTGCTTCTTGGCGGCGGATAAGGACTTTAGCTTCTCGTTGTCTCTGTAGCTTTTATCTCCAGGTGAGAGCGAAGAGGCGGCTGCGGATCTGTCCTTTTCCTTCCAGCGCTCCACTGAATTGTCGGAGTGCTCCGGTTTCATCTTCTTCTCCTTGTCCAGATGCGTCTTCTCCGTTTTGTCTGAATCCTTTTCTTTTCCTGGAAGCCTCTTGTCAGGTTTGTCTCGCGCCGTTTTTTCGGACGGCTCCAGCTGGTCCTGCTCGGCCGCGACGGGTTTCTCCTCCGCTTCCTCTTTCACGCCGCTGTTCTGCAGCGGCTCCTCCGGACTCCGGCCCGATCCGTGACTCTCCTCCTTCGTCCGCTCCTTCTTCACCGCCTTGTCTTTCTCCCGCTCCTCTCTCGGCCTCTTCTCCTTGCTGCCGGAGTGTTTCTCCTTCGAGTTCCTCTCATCCTTCACCGGAGAGGAGTCGGCCGCCGTCTTCTGGAGCGAGCCGGCGTCCTCTCCATCCTTTTTCCCCGCCGGCGGCTCATCCGCCTCGTCGCTTTTGAAGAAGTTCTCCTTCCAGAACTCCCTGTCGAACTCCAGGTTCCGGTGGCCGTCCTTCCTGGCCTCCTTCTGCCTGTGGCGGCTGCGCTCGGCTTCGTACTCTCGCCTGTGTTTATCCTTCTCCTTGTGTTTCAGCTTGTGCTTCTTCACCACCTTCCCGTCCAGGTCCGTCTTCCGCAGCACCGCCGCCTCGCCGCCGTCCACGTTGTTCCCTGTGACGGCGTCCTTGCAGGGGCTGGCGCGGCCATCGTCTGCGTCCACGCCGGGCTCCTTCTGGTGGTGCTTGCTCTTCTCCCTGTGCTTGCAGCCCTTGGCGCTGGAGCTTTCGCTGCAGAAGTCCGCCTCAGAGTAGTGGTTGTAGGAGCCGTCGCTGATGGACACCTTGGTGTTTTCCTGTTTCAGTGGACACTGCTTGTCTGCCAGGCTGTGGTTCAG